GTTCCTCTCTCTCGCTCTCTCTCTCTCTCTCTCTATCTCTCTCTCTTCTCTCTTCTTCTCTCTCTCTCTCTCTCTCTCTCTCTCTCTCTCTCGCTCTCTCTCTCTCCTCTCTCTCTCTCTCTCCTCTCTCTCTCTCTCTCTCTCTCTCTCTCTCTCTCTCTCTCTCTCTCTCTCTCTCTCTCTCTCTCTCTTCTCTCTCTCCTCTCTCTCTCTCTCTCTCTCTCTCTCTCTCTCTCTCTCTCTCTCTCTCTCTCTCTCTCCTCTCTCTCTCTCTCTCTCTCTCTCTCTCTCTCTCTCTCTCTCTCTCTCTCTCTCTCTCTCTCTCTCTCTCTCTCTCTCTCTCTCTCTCTCTCTCTCTCTCTCTCTCTCTCTCTCTCTCTCTCTCTCTCAATATATAATATATATATATATATATATATATATATATATATGATGAACGTAAATTTATGGATTGATATTATATATGATATTAATCTATACTGTTATGTTCTTTATGCAATATTGAAGAAAACATGTCCTCGCTAACAAATGGGCCATATGCCGCGATTTTATTTAGGGGGAGGCCTTTTGCCATCAGGGGGCCCTTAGTCAACCCTGTACCCCTCTTGATAAGGCTGCGTCTGCTTGGTTCACACTTCAGATTTGGCCTGCTTTCTTCTAACAGTTGGAGGGCTGGATCCCATGTTGGGAGAGGGGCGCCCCCTCCCCCCTCAACTGAACAGGAAACGACATACCTGATATCAATGGTTAGCAGCGATCTGATTTCATCATGGGTGATGCTTCAACATCCTCAGATGTGGAACGTTTCCTGTAACAATGTGTTCCGTTTCTCTGAGAGCCCGCTGCAGTTTAATGGCCCTGTACAGTGTTTGGGTTCTCCCAGTGCTGTATTTAATGCCAACCTCCTTGGCTGCCATGAAGTCGGCGCTCAGGTCAAGCTTGAACATGAGTTGACATGGGGTTTGATCATGACTTGTGCCCAAACGAGCAAGACAGTAAGCGAAATCAGAGGTGGAACCAAGATGTTTCATAACACAGTTGCATGTTGTTTGGGAGGCAATGCTGCATGCTTAGAATTCGTGGAGTGCTCTTCATTTATTTTTCATGACTACTCAGCATAGAGGAAGACGTGATTAGAATGCATTATTTTTTATTCCGAATAACAAGGTGTGTACACCACTGCTGATGATGGTACTATGTTTGTGAGATGACGGACCCGGTCCCGTCGCGTCCGGTCACGCGAGTTCCCGTCTGGTGCCGTCCAGCTCGGTTCGGTCACGTCCGGTTCGGCCCGGTCCCGTCCGGTACCATCCAGCCACGTCCATCCAATTCCATTTGGTCTCGTCTGGCTCCATCCGACCCGGTCCAATCTCGTCTGCTTGCGCCCAATCCCTCCTGGTGGGATTCGGTCACGCACGGTCCCACCCGCTCCCGCCCACTCCCTCCTGGTGTGATTCGGTCACGTACGGTCCCACCCGCTCGCGCCCACTCCCTCCTGGTGTGATTCGGTCACGTGCGGTCCCACCCGCTCACGCCCACTCCCTCCTGGTGTGGTTCCGTCACGTACGGTCCCACCCGCTCCCGCCCACTCCTGTCCAGTTCATCTGTATCTCCCGTTGCCAACTATCATTGCCAACTTTTGTTGCTTTCGACCCTTCGTCGTGCGACTATTTGTCAGTCGACAATCGTGCCTGTCCACTTTTATCCCGCTCAACTTTTTGTCGTCCACCGTTGTCCGTCTTTTGTGGTTCGAATTGTATTCGTTGGACTTTTTCCATTGGACTATTGGTTCGGGAACTGGCTCTCTTACGTTTGGGATTCGCCATGGCCGGAACGGCATAACCATATCTATGTCAGTGCATATGTGCCGAGAAGAAGACATAACATCGGAGTCCATCACTCCGGTGCATGCATCAGTGGCAACTGCATAGTATGCAAGCTCTTTGAGAAGGACATAATGTCGGTTTTCAGGGAAACCATATGCACTGCAGACGACTGAGACGTGGACATAGTTCAGCGGGAGTAAGTGTTGTTAACTCCAAATTCCGTTTGCAGACGAATATGATTAATTCGGTCTCATGATATTTGCAGTCGGCAAGCGTCGAGCATAAAGCAAGCCTATCCCACAACCACCAATGCTAGCAGAACGACACTAGTCCTGAGGCCGTGCTGGGATATTGCCAATCGTATTTTTCTGCTTGAGACGCGAGGAATGCACTTACGGGAGGCGCTTGAAATCTGGCCGTAATATTGGTTACACAGCAGCTATCACCAGAAAGATATCGTGCGCCCGTGCCCACCAACCAGCGTGCGTAGATGCACAGTCAAACACTGGGCATTCATTGAGGCCGATGTGAAGGATATGTCGTCTCTCACAATGCTATGACGGACCACGACATCCATGATATCTTCATGATACCATTAGAAATTCCAATGCAGATCTGACCATGTACGAGTATTCGTTTTTTTCTGTGCACTTTGGCGCACGAACCATTCGTGTCTCATCGTCATGTTCGTAGCATACGTTGTTGTTGCATAGACAAAGCAACAGTCTAAACATTGGAGGAGACGAATGTTGGGACAATCGTTCCCCGATAATAGTAAATTGTAATGCTCGTTCCACTGTACATATAACCTGTCTCCTATACGCGATTTTCAAAGAAGGCTGGGCCTGTAATTTGACAACTCGTCGTTTGAAAATAGCGTCCAGAAAGGCAAGAACAGGCTGCGTTACGAAACACAAGAGGAGCTGGGACATGTTGTTTCTGTTATTGAACCAGGCACATATTGGGATGATTCAATGGTTTTTAAGGGTGCTCCGTAACATTTCATGGTCGATCAACAAGATTCATCTAAGTGTTTTCCAACAGCATACCTTTGTATGGACAACACACACTTAACCCAGAAAAAATGTTTTCGGAAGGTAAAGTTTCCCGAAAAAATCTCGGTTTCCCTCCACGTGTTCACTCCAGGTTAAACAAGATTCGTCCAAATGTTTTCCAACAGCACACACTTATATGGAGAGCGTACCGCAAACCCAGAAAAAAGTTTAGGAAGTGAAGGCTTCCAGAAAACACCTGTTGTCCAGCACGTGTTCACCAGACAATCCATAACATTTCCGTGACGTGGGATCTCCGTGTCGATCACGCCTTAGGTTGTGCTGACCCGGCCACTGGAAGTCACAAGCAGCCCCGGTGGGTGTCACAGGCAGACTTCTGAGACGTTCAAAGCCAAATCCGGCTATGAAGATCAGTCGGAACTGGAAGAGCTGGAGGAGCCACCAGCTGGCGGAGTTGAAAAAATGGACGAAGTATTAATGACAGAATAACCTCGCCATATTGCGGTGAATCTTGATACGGCATGACACAACGTAACATGACATAACAATAGATGATATCAATCTTTGACACAGCCTTGGGACGTCACACCAGCAGCTTCGGAAACATTCGGATACACCTGGAGGAGCACCTCTTACTTTTATCGTGCTGCAAAACGTGGTTCAGTGGGCAGCATGCATTATTACGCAAATGGTTTGCAAATACTTGTTAGGATGTCAAAATGGAAACCGCTGCCTTGTAATCGCTCCAAAGGATCACACCTTCGGCTTAAATAATGTGGGAAAAGGTGCTTATCAATCAAGCCAGGAACCGTTGGGATAATGTCTCTGGCGAAAGACCAGGTGGCAGCATGACTCCCAGTGCCGTGTGCGTGCTTTTGTCGTCGGCAGCCGTGTGCAGTTGATGGCGTGGCCTGTTGGCGCATGCAAAAATTTGGACTTGGGCGCTCCGAGCACCGGAAATAGTGAACTAGCCGACCAGAGTTCGGTGGGTGCAGAGACTGTCAACGGAGCCATCGGCCCCACCTACGGATGCTAGCGGATCCTTAGTTATGTATCAGGATGCTCGCATGGTGCGAGTGCTCGACTTTTGCTCGCCTTTACCTGGAGGAGGAGCATAACCAGTGGGCCCCGCAGGTTCCGGGCATGGCGGGGCCGTGACTGGCAGGGGCGTTATGATGGCATGGCCACTGGCTGGCTCTGGTGGCACGACGAGATGACATTAGACGACAATGACGGCACCTGATGGGACTGAGGGACAGTGGTAACCAGTGGGTGACGACCACAGGCCTGTTGGCAGAGGCAATGACAGTCATTTAGACGACCGCAAAGGCTGGTGGGAGAGCAGTAACAGCCACTCAAAACCATGTTCTAGTTTAAAATACTTGCTGGGGGTGCGGTGGAATAAATCCCACCAGTGTCCGCCAAATTCTGCCCCCAGTACAACCTGAGATTCCCTCCTTCCAGTGAAAATATCGATTTACCGGCATTTGTGTTCTCCAGGACAGATCCTACAGTCAGTCCCGTAAAATTTACCGTGCGATCTATCCTATTACCGTGTGTTCTATCCTATTGCCCTTTGATCTGTCCTTTTACCTTGGCATGGGGGGAGCGGAGTGGCAGAGAAAGTGGAGACGTTGAAATAGACATGCTATCTCTAACCCCGTTAATGTATTATTGAATATATTACCACTGCCGCAAAGCTACGATATCGCACAGGCCCAATATCCTCCACAATTCACAGTTTGTTGAATGCTCACTGCTGCTACATATCCGATGACGTCAAGTATCTCTGAAAAGGTTCTCCATCACAGAATTATCACATTTTCACATGATTGTTTGACAGTATTATCATGCTTTTACCGGATTTGGTTCGGGAAGTGACAGTGACTCATTCGACCGGAAAGGCTGGACAGTGTAATGATGCATGGGGCAGTAAGGGACACTCAGACGATCGCAAGAGCTCATCAGCGGGTCAATGATGACATCTCAGACAATTACAGGATTTGTCAAGCGCATTAGAGCGTCCAGTCGGCTGATCATGGGGGTCGTGCAGACGGATCACTTACGCAGACATCCTCACGGTCTGTGGAGAGGCGCACAAGCAGCACAAGGCAGGTTTTCTTATTTATTCTTCTCCAACTCACCATGTCAGTTATGCCAGCGCATTACGTTTTGCCTCTATTTTACAACAATACCGGTACGGTCAAGAGTTTCTGGACAAAACAATTGCCCGGACGCAATAACCCAGCCTCGTACTCCCGCTGCACGTATGCCGAATGTACAGTTTGATTAAAGGCGTCCAGCATTCTAATACAGACACTAGGTAAAGCACTAGCCGATGCTACAACACACACACACTCTTTATCACACTGACCAGGTGGGATGTATCGGATAGCTATTTTGGGATCAACTAGACTACATAAATTTGCAGTTAGCGATGGGTTCAGGCAGCGACTTAAGACAGCTGCGGTTTAAGCAGCGACTGGTGTGTGCTCACCGAACGAAGAGGCCAGCAGGGTCAGGACTAGCAGCTGCAGCAGCATGGCGATCTGGAGGCGGACTCTTCGTTGCCGGTGGAGAAGCGCGATGTGGCTGGAGGTGAGAGTTACTCAGACTTTATAGTTGTGACAATAGCTAACGTGTGCCTGTTTTTACAGCTGAATATGATTCACTCTGGTGCTGCAAGAGCTTTCGAGTGCGTCGATTGCTGGGACGTTTTTGTGCACAGCGAGAACAGTGAACATAATGTAAACATTCGAATGCACTCGAACGTGACTCATGTGGAAATGTCCATAAAAAGCCGGCCTGTCCGCACTTGTGTTCTAAGGAAAACACTTGAGACCGGAGGTGTAATATGCTCACGGCGATCCCTATGCTTCAAACTTTTGGATAATCCTACCCACAACACACAACTTGCAGAGGCATGAACCATCGCTTAAGATTAATCATCCTTTCCTGGGACCTCGATGGGGTGTGTTTTATTCATTGCTGCATCCTAGCTACATCACAGCAGTGTCCAGGCCGAGGAGAGTCAGAGGGGGCACAGTTCTCCTATTAAGGTCCCGATTTGAGAGCCCAAAGGACCCGAACGGCTGGTCGGAGGCCGGAGGATACCGGAGGGGAAGAAGTGTCTCACCTTTGGGGGTATATTTCAAAAAATATTTTAGCAAACCCCAGCACTATTATGTCTTGTAAAGGCACGAGTTAGCGCTACTGCAGCACCGTCGATACAAAAATATATCAATCTGAACTATTTGCGAGGTCAAATCACGCTGTCGACGTTTTGTAAGTGTATTGTGTCTCTTCCTTCCCTCAATCACTGCCGTCATGACAACCACCGTGCGCACGTCTACCGGCGCGAACAAATTAACGTTTGTGATTGGCCGAGCGTGCAAGGGCCTGTTACCGGGAAGTTGGTTGGATGAAGTTTGAACCAGTGGGTCCCATGGATCATTAAATGCTCCCATCCCTACAGCCAAAGTACGCCTGGAAGAGAGCCGCTGTGGTTGGTGCTTTAGCGAACAGATCAAAGACATAGTATAGCATTTTGTTGAATTTGCGGGGTAATAGCATCATGGTCGCATAAGGCTTTGTCTAAGCAATGTTACAAGCTTTCGTAGCATTTATTTCCCAGATATGTTGACACATTAGTGTGTCGCAAATATCAAAGAACATATGCGTTGGAAAAGCAAGTCAAATGAAAGGTATTACAGTCATAATGGTGGGCACGGAATCAAATAAGACTTATCCCGCAGAGTCAGCTTCTTCAAAAACAAATTTCGAGCTAGTGAGAAGGATTTCGAGGAAACTGGTATCAGTGATCAAATCGTACGCATGTGATGTAGCAATATGTAAAAAGTGCAAAGAGGTGAGATACTCCCTTTCAGGAATCCGGCCCTGGGCACGGTCCTCAAATGCCACTGAAAGGGACCTTGGCACCGATTGGGACTCCAAAATTGAAAGAAGACGGTATCTGTCCTTAGCAGTCAGCTGTGTGCTTAGCGGTTAAGGTCAGCCAAGCCCTGTCGTGTGAGGCTACTTGTTCGTGTGACAACGCTCAAGCAACGTTGAAATGTGCGACTCGCTGATGACACCGTCAACATCAGCAGAGATCTCATTGTCCAGCCGCCACCGATCGGATCGCCTGATCGCCACGCATAGGCAGGGTATAATTGGCTATGCAGAGCCGATTGACCATGTTGGGACGCGCCAGCTCGAACCTGCTGGGGAACCGTCGGTGACGTCACAGCAAAACTGAACGTGGTGTTTGCTGCGGGGTGACGACGGCCGGTATGCTGGAAAAACCACTGATGAGGTGTTTTCAGGGATTGTGGTTGGCTACCCCACCACTGGCTAGCAGTGAGATAATTTGGCGACGTTGATCAGTTTATTCCCGGAGGTTTTTCAACCATGCCGCTATGCAGGCATAGGCGAGTGTAACAGGTGGCGATGTTACCTTGGAGCTGCGGGACGGAACATAGCCTCAGTTCATGCGGCCACACCCAATTCTAAGGGCCCGTGAAGACCGATGGAGGTCGCAGCTTGATGACCTACAGGTGTGTGGTGTCCTCGAAGGGGGGAACCCTGCGATTGGAACATTTTTATCATTTTGATCCAGATTATTGTGTCTTATGAGTCTTGGATTATGGCGGACATAAGAACGTTGAATAAGCCCCTCGTTCAAAAGCAGGCTGTTTTCCCTGTAATTGGATGCGTTTCCGTTCCTTTGCTTCAACACTTGACAATGAGCATGCGTTTTGGAATCCACAACTTCCGGAGAAATCGAGCAAAATTTGCGCGTTTTCCGCACCGAAAAACGTTTACCCTCGGCGGATGTCTATGGGATGCATGCACTTTTAAGCCTATTCATGCGAATGGTCCTAGGGGGCCTGGAGCGTGTTCACGTGTGTCTAGCAGACATCCTGCTCGTGATCCCAAGCGATGAGCAACATTACTAGACTTGACACACGGTTCTGGAGGGACTTTGTGGCGTAGGACTTAATCTTGTTCCAGTTGAATGCCGTCTTTTTCAGAGAAGATAACAGGAGAGTAATGTTTTCAAACAACCTTGAAATACCTTGATCATCAGATCACCCCTGATGGGGCTTTTATTGGCTGAGATCTTGTACAGATAACGGCTGACCTGAAGTGCTTACGCCCATGAAAGAAGGTAAGGGAGGGGGGGGGGGGGGTGTTTGGCTGGTCAGGGTATACATGGCTACCTCATGTTAATAGGAGCATTGTACATCAATCGTTCTTTTTAAGGCAGAACATATCGTAATTAATCGTAAAACAGGTCATCTAAACTCTTACCTTGGAACTTAAATAACTACGGTAGCGAACGTCCGAACGACACAAACACGCAAGAACCGCGACCCCGACGCCATTACTACGCGCGATCACAACATTGCTGCGCATCAAGAACCATAAAAATGTGCGGGGCCAAGGTAACAAGAATCCAATGAAATATTTTTCTTGCGTATCCAAGCAGCCTTCCGTACTGTTTGCAGATGGGTCGACATGGTGGGCAAATATGATGTCTTTGGGTGGGGAAGGAAAAGGAAAATGAGAATATGGCGGCTAAACAAAACTTCTTAATACGGTACGTATATATGGCATGGAACATGGATGGCAATGGGACACTAGGTTGAAGGGGATAGGGTGGGGAGGTAAGGTTAGGTTAGGTTAGGTTAAGTTAGGTTAGGTTAGGGTAGCGTAGGCTAGGCTAGGCTAGGCTAGGCTAGGCTAGGTTAGGTTAGGCTATGTTAGGCTAGGCAAATTTAGGCTAATTTAGGCTCTGTTCGGGACTATTCTGGCCTGTCTGTTCCATTAATGTACCTACACGGGATAAACAAGTATTTCGTGGCATTATTATTGTTACCTTGGCCCCGTACATTTTAGTGGTTCTTGATAGGCAGAAATATTGTAACTACGCAACGATAACGCAGAAACGGTGCTGGGGAGTCGAGGCGGTGGAGTGTGCGTGGCTCTCGGGGGTTCGTTATCGGAGTTATTGAAATTCGAAGGCAGGAGCATGAATCTACCTGTTTTATGATTATTTACGAGATGTTCCGCCTTCAACACAACGAATTGTGTACAATGATTTTTTTCTAACATTAGGTACCAATGTATGCCTACACTGTTTGGCTTAACATTGCTTCAGATCCTTGGTCTTTTGTACAACTCTGAGGATTATTGATTCAACAACCCGAGGACCTTGGTCACCACGGGTCATGGTCTTGCACAGATAAGCGGTTAAAGCTGAAAATATTCGAGTTTCGAGAGAGCAAATCTCACCCTTACCTATTATTGATCAGCATCAAATGTTTTATCAGCCGCAAGACGCAGTTGATTCGATTTTCGAAAGACTATCTTCCTTAGTTTCTAAACGCCATGAGGAGGGGTCGCATCGAATTTTCACCCGCTCCCCCGCCCCCCTCATAAGTTCGTGTTATGAACAACGGCGAATCAGGGGGAGGGCAAATAAATGGGCGGTGACCAAACATCATGTTTGGCATGCTCATCAAGTATTTCATGTTTTCACTCGTGTATGCCCAATGGCATTACCCTGACATCAAATGGAAAGGGGTGCATGAAAATGGCTAGCAGAGGACATTGATGAAATCACTAGTATTGTACGCATGCACGTACCACCTTCCCTAAGCATGCCCGAACTTTCAAAATGACATCAACACGATGGTATTCATAGGTAAAGATATTGTGACCACCAATAAAGAGATTCAACATCCTCATTAGATAGGTGTTTTATTAAATTTGATGGATAAAACAATATGACAGGCCTTGAAAGGCCCATTATGGCCTAGCTGGCACCAACTACACGCCAACAATCGGACAACTTTCAGCAATAATTATTTGCCCAAGACCATTTTTGACTCCTTGAGTGAATCCTGATGGCAATCCTGGCAGATTGATATTCACGGCTATCTGACATGCAGCAAGGGATTATCAATTTCACTCTGAAATGCAGCTGTCTTTTGCATCTTTTACTCACGCGCTCGTGTGGCCGGCCGGATACCATTCGCTCGGGTGGGGGTAAATTTCACCACCCCTGAGATCTCAGTAATTAAGAGAGTTAGAGACACCAAATTCACAGGGAGTATTGACCTGTGGGCGAACTCACTTAGGTCAAAGTTTAAGATTCCTAAGTCATAACCTTCGGGTCAAATAAGGTCAAACAAGGTCAAATTACGGATTGGTTTTCAAAAAACCCCAGAACCTAGATAACTGTTCTAAGCAAAAGGCCACATGCTTACTTATGGTCAGTGACCTCGTTTGACCTTTTGAAGGTCATGGTGTCCAAAGTCATACAAGACATCTCTGACTTTTGCATTTGGATAAACGACAAAGATTACGCTAGGCAGTATGTTCCTAAAAACAAAGTGTTGACCTGGGTCATACCAGGTCACTGACCTACTCTGACCTTTGAAAAGTATATGGAAGGTTATAATGCGTTTCCTGTTATCAAAAAATTCGAAATGAGCACCAGGAACTCATCCATACAACAAGCGCTAAAGCAAACAAAAAACAGGTTGATTTTGTTCTTGGTCTGACCTTCATAGCTGGCCTTAGTT